GATCAGCGCTATTCAATGTTTTTATGGTTATATTTACTATGGCATGTTTTAATAACGTGTACCTAAGACATACGATTTTTCATTTACCCGAAATCACCATCTTTCCTAACCTTAAGTGTTTTTGTTGCCTAAACGTAATTCAATTCAATTTTTCAATTAAATTTTATTTGTATAGCGCCAATTCATAACAGAAGTTATGTTACACAAGTAACATAACAAGTAATAATAATAATAAGTAATTTACACAAACGACTGCATCCTCCAGTCACCAGTCCGTCAGCTCCTGAAGTTTGCAGATGACACCTCCCCCATTGGGCTCATCTCTGGTGGAGATGAGTCTGCCTACAGATGGGGAGATTGACCATCTGTGGACCTGGTGCAGCCCAGAACACTGGAGCTAAAACGCTCTGAAATCAGTGGAGATGGTTGTGGACTTCAGAAAAAGAACCCAGCCCCACCCGCCCCCCATCATCCCTTGTGACTCCCCAGTTGACTCTGTGGAGTTCTTCTGCTTCCTGGGTACCATCATTACCCAACCTGCCAAAGGACGAGAATGGTGCACTTCTACACCACACCATTCATCCAAGTCCATCCTCACCTCTTTCCATCACCATATTGTACGCTGCTGCCATTGCCAATGACAAGGGCAGACTGCAGCGTATCATTCGATCAGCTGAGAAGGTGCTCGGCTGCAATCTGCCATTCCTTCCAGGACCTGTACGTCTCTAGGACCCTGAGGCGTGCAGGCAAGATTGTGGCTGACCCTCTCCCACCCCGGACACCAAACTCTCTGAAACCCTTCCCCTCTGGCAAGAGGCGGCAGACCATCAGGACAAAACCTCACCGCCACAAAAAACAGTTTCTTTCCGTCTGCACTGGCCTCATTAGACAAGGCCCGGATCCCTGGACGCTGACGCTGGCTCTTAAACCCACCCTGTATATATGCATTACATTAATGCACTCCCGTTTCCTTATCTGTATTTATTTATATTTTTCTTTTAAACATTTTTGTGTGATTTTTATATTCTATGCACAGACAAATTCCTCGTATGTGTAAAAACTTACTTGGCAATAAACCTAATTCTGATTCTTCTGATTCTGAAGTTATCTCAGGACACTTTT